ACGAATCAGTACCCGAGGAGAAATGGGGAATAAAAAAAGAAAGAAACAAGAACATTAAGAAAAGGCAAGAACAATCGTCAAGTGTTTAAAGCTCCAAGTCCAAAGAAAAAAAAAACAAAACGAGTAAAAAGACAACTACGTAAATTGCTCAATACAGAAAGTAGAGCAAAACCTAAGATAATCCTATGGAGCCAGGCAAATCTACCTACGTTTCATCTAATCGGTTCTTCAGGGTTTGCCTAGCTCTTTAGGATTATCTTATATATATATATATATATACATACATACAATAGGATACCCGTCTACGGGAGCGGCTAGCCAATCCCTAATTCAGACGCTCGCTCAGGTACATTTGTTTGTTCAACACCCACAGAGACCACCTGTGGTTTATACTGCAAAACCTTAGTTACAGTTTCTGGGAGGGCATGTTATCTATTGTTATCCACAATCTGAACAAGGCCAGCGCATTCAGACCCTCGGTCACGATGACTTGTGACTTCGTGACCGAGGTTTTGAGTGTGCTGGCTATCGACGGCACCCCAAGGGTTCCGTCTACCAAATTTCACTCACAAGTCTTGGGTCAACCCGTGGTATGGTTTTCAGTCACTTTCCAAATGTGCCACACGCTTGGATCGTCCCTCTCCGGATCGATAATATCAGGAAGTCTCCTTCCTGACAAATCGAACTCGGGTCTCATGGTCAGGAAGCGAACGTTCTAACCATATATATATATATATATATATATATATATATATATATATATATATATATATATATATATATATATATATGTGTGTGTGTGTGAAAAGTGTGTATATAAATATAAATAAATATATATATAATTATTTATATATTATATGCGCGGTACTCTTTCCCGACGGACGACCAAGTATGTATATGTGTCTGCGTACTCCATTAGGCGTATGAACATACATCGATGTTTGCGTTAGTACGATGACACAATGACGACGTTTCCCCCACCACTTCCATAATAACACCAATACACGCAATCTACATAAACCCAAAATTTAAAAAAATTAATCAGTTTGTCTGACGATCGCTAAAGCGTGAAACCCAGGGTCACAAACTCACATCTATCCAACCAAATATATATATATATATATATATATATATATATATATATATATCAAAAGTTTGAGGCCACCCCTGGTAATTATTTAAATAAGAGAAAATTATTATAAATGGTTAAAAAGTGAGTTGATTTTTTTTTTTTTTTTTTTTTTAGAAATTTTATTAATATTGACAATAGAAAAAAAAACTATTAAATTTTGCTCCCGTTAAAATATCCTCTTTTAGCCTTGATTACTGCAGCAGAAATGTTTGGCATTTGTTGCAAAGGTTTTTCAAAGTATAAGTTTCATAATTGATTTCATTCTTTTTCATCAATAACTCCAAGAGCACTTTTTTTTTTTCTCACTCTTCTGTCAAGTTCATTCTATGCTAATTCTGGGGTGGCTTGAAACTTTTGAACTTTAGTGTACATTGTGTGTGTGTGTGTGTGTGTGTGTGTTAATAGATTCTCTGCGCATTTTTGCTTTTGTAGATATATATCCGCTTCATATCTTTGTTTATATTTTTCTTTATATGTAAGTATTTTTAAAGAATTAATGAATTTTTTTAATCAGACATTTTTATCATTTAATAACGTTTGAAGTAGATGGAATCATGTATATTTTTTATTTCATGTGTTTAGCAACGTATGTATACTATGTGTTGTATTATATATATATATATATATATATATATATATATATATATATATATATATAATATTGTGTGTGTTTACATTAATGCCTGCATGTACTTGTGTGCGTAATTTGCCTGTGTGCGTAAACCTACATTTCAGATTAGATTATAGGAAAGGGAAAAATAAACATATGTAAACACTGTCCTAATGAATAGGAAATGTAGAAAGATCGTGAAGCGCCAACACTCTTTCTGCTTTCGTTTACACCTTTCATCGCGTGAAACCTTAAAATACTTACTTCTTATTAAGAGAGAGAGAGACAAAAGAAAATAAGTGCGATTGTGGAAAAACAATTCTGAAAGAGAAAATGAAATGTTTGTGGAGGAAAAAAGAAAGATTTAGAAAGTTAAAAGGGTAAAAGATTTAAAGATGAAGAAACATCCAAGAGTTAATGATCAAAACAAGAAAGATTTGGAGAAAAGTGAAAGGGAGTGGCGGGAGATTTGGATGAAAGTGAAAGGGAGGGGGAAGATTTGGAGGAAAGTGAAAGGAAGAAGGCGTAGGAGGAAAGGAAAAAACAAAAAGAAATGACTTTGAGGAAGAAAAAGAAAAGAAGGAAAGTAAAAACCATTGTGAGCGTAATGAAAAAGCAAGACTTGATAGAGGAGAAAGCAAACATCAAAGAAAGAATCATGAAGAGGAGGAAAGAGAAAAGAAAGAGAAAATAGAAAGTATTTAATGGAAAATAAACCTCAGAACGAGATTTACAAGAGTGAAAGGGTGAGGAAAGCATTAAGAGAAGGAAGAAAGAAAGAAAGTGCCGTAAGATGAGGAGACACCATCATCACAGTCATCATCAAAACCCGAGGATAAAGGGTGTTGGGTAAATTGTAAAAGATGACGAAGAGAAGGGAGGGGGAAATTTGTGGGTAAAACAGGGGCGGGGGCCGATGTATTAGAGTAACAGATTTTTTTTTCTTCGGGCAGCAGAATCATACGAAGCCAAGGAGGAGAAAGAGAAGTCTGCGAAAGAACGTCATCCTGCAGACGATAATAACAAATTGTAAGAGGGGGAGTCCAAAGAAGAGGAGGGAATAATTTGTTTTTTTTTGTTTTGTTTTGTTTTTTGGTTTTTTCGGCAAACCCGGACCGAAAACGAAGCAGTCGGGTTGAAAAAAGAAAGAGTACTTTATTATTGCTGGTACTGAGAAGCCAACTTGCTTTTCGTGTTCGTTCTCGTTTGGTAGCAGTAGTCGGCGCATAAGTTAACGTCTGCGTTTTGTTACTGGGTATATCATGAAATTGTTTGCATTTAACTGCCTGGAACAAACAAGCAATAATAATAATAATAATAATAGCTAGAAGCGTAAACACAATTTATAAAGCACTGACAATAACAATAAAAAAAATAACTGCTTAATTATGAAGAACACAGCAACCACCCCAACAAACAGCGACCATTCGGGGTCTGCGAAAATGTCGGCAAACCCTTCTGACGCAACAAGTGCCTCTTCAGGAGCAACACCGGCCAGTAGCACCTCTGGTACCAGCAACACCACAACACCACCTTTGACTTCATCTACACCTAAACCGACCACTTCTGCTGGTACTAAAACCAATGCTACAAACGGTAGCAGCAACAATATAAACAACAATAACAGTGGGATCAACCTGCCTGATACGAAATCACCCAATTCGACTTCGGCAAATAATGTTAGCAGTACTGGGGTAACTGGGGGTACTAAACCGGCCAACAGTAATAGCCAAGGAGCTACCCCACCGGCGATATCGAGCAGACCGGCTCCACCGTCCAGAGCACCGCCATCGACCCCAACTACCCCACCATTGACGTCCCCCACTGTGACGACCGTAACAGCAGCGGTAGCGACCACAACCACAACGACCACGACTACAGCGGATAATAAAGAGAAGAAGAACCCCCAGGCAGATTCTGGGGTGAGAAAGTCTCTAATCGAAAGGTTTAGCTTTCTGAGTCGCTCGAAGGAGTCGAACCTCGACAGTAGCGGAACGGGTTCAAGTACAGGACCGTCCGCCCAGGTAAAAACCGGAGTAACGACGGAAAAAGCTCAAGGCGAAGCGGACGAGGCGAAAAAGGAAAAGGAGAAGAAAGAGAAGGAAGAAAAAGAGGAGAAGAAGCGAAAAAAAGAGGAAGAGAAACGAAAGAAAGAGGAAGAGAAGAAGAGGAAGAAAGAGGAAGAACAAGAGAGGAAGAAACGAGAGAAGGAAGAGAAAGAGAAAAGTTCAGAAGGGTTAGAATCGACGCCCGGAGAAGAAGCTGTAAATGGAGGGTGGGACAAGAAAAACAATTCGAAAGTAATGGAAGCTGAAGCTTGCAAGAAAGTGAAAAGTAGCGATCCAAACCCTAACGCCACTACAGGTAAGTCGAATTCATTCGGTTACCGAAGAATGGGATACCGACTTGTCATGTGAATGAAGTTTTGACCTTTTTTTTTTTTTTAGGAGCGGGGGGGGGGTCTGAAAACGTCATTTATATTCGTGATGGTAATTTGTACTTTCTTTTAAAGCCTGCAAACAACGAAAATAAAACTGACTTAAACATTGTCCGATCGTAAAATGTTTTATAAATTAGTAATTAATATAAAATATGACAGACGGAGTCTGAGTTCTCAGATACAGCAAAGTGTTGTTCGATTTTGAGTTGCGGATAACACTAAAATAGAAGTACTGTTTTTCTCATTCATATGACAGAACAAAACGTAAAAAAAAAAAAATATAGCAAACTCCACATGAATTCATAAATATTCACCTTCATTACATGTTTTAATTCTGAAACAATTTTTTCTTATCTACAGATATTTAATATTTTTTGTATAATCAATTTTTACTTAAATTTAAAACTATTTACATCGCTCGGACTGTTGTCCTCATCTTTATTGTCATATTCAAGTCGTTTCGGCATTTGTAGTGTCCTGGAGATTTATAAACACACACATATGTCGCGTGTGTGTGTGAGTATGGTGAAGAGATGTATATGTTAGTGTTTATTTTGGTCTGTAATCGTATAAAGGGAAAGACACGGAGAAGTAAATAGACATTAATAAAGCAATTATAATTTTTAACTCTAAAACTAAATTACTTTCTATGTGTATATTATATTTGCATTTTTTTACACGTTTAGAGATATATTTCTCTATCTCTTATACGTGTTTGCGTGTGTGTGACAATGATATAAACATTTTTATTTATCATAACAATGTTAAATAAGTGAATGACAAAGAACCAAAATTTCTGTTAGGCGTTTCGTCCTTTATGAGGATTTGATCGAATATAAATAAAGATTTAATTCCATCGACAAAAAAAGACGAAACGCGTAACAGAATTTTTCCAATTTGTCATTCATTTGCATAGAACATTTCAAAGTGCGTGTTGGTAGTAATAAAAAAAAACAGTGATCGATGTAAAATAACAGCTAAAATTTGTACTAATAATGTGCTTGAAACTCAAGTGGTAAGGAACAAATATATATATATATATATATACACACATGCACATACTGCTACTAATAATACTGCCTCATATATTTAGTAGTAGTAGTGTGTATATATATATATATATATGCTACTAATAATTAATATATATATATATATATATATATATATATATATATATATATATGACTACAACTACTGATAATAAATACTGCTTCATATATACACACACAATAATGATACATACCACCTCATACATACACACACACACACATATATATATATATATGTGCTACTAATAATTAGTACTGCCTTATATATATATATATATATATATATATACACATATATACAGGTACTGCTACTAATAATACTGCCTCATATATTTAGTAGTGTGTGTGTATATATATATATATATATATATATATATATACACACACACACGGCTACAACTACTACTAATAAATATTGCTTGATAGTTATATATATATATATATATATATACACACAAACACATACTACTGATAATAAATACTGCTTCATATATACAGGCACAATAATGATACATACCACCTCACACACACACATATATATATATATATATATATATATAAGCGGTGCGAAAAAGATTTCAATCCACCGAAAATGCCAGGCCCTTTCAGAAAGATACTTATAGATACTTATATATATATTTATATATATATATATATATATATGTGTGTGTGTGTGTGTGTGCATGCATGATGAATATGTAAAGATTTTGTCCGACCTACTTTCCCGCATCTGACCAAATAATAAAAAATGAGCGATCTTTCTGAATTTGCCTGGCATTTTCGAGGTATTTAAATAAAACTTTTTCACACATCTTTTTCTATATAAATATGATAGGGAGGGACGGTTTACTGTGGATACACCATACTTGAATAATTGATTCCTTTTCCACGCGATTGCTTTTAAACACTTTCCTTTATTGAACCCACTCCATACATAATGACACAAATTTCTAATATATATATATATATCTATGCGGTTAGCTTTCAACTAGAATTCAACTCTTACGATGTTCTTCATTAATATCTCTCTTCGTCACATAACTCAACACATTCTTCTTCTATATAAACATGATGCATTCATATCAAATATGTTTACGTGTTTCTGTGGCTGTCGGTTTTGTTGAGTTGCTTAATTTTTACTCATCGCTCTGACTTTTTTGTCGATGTTTACATTTTTCGCTTCTGATTTTCTGCTTGATGAGTTTTCCTTGTTGACCGACCGAACAGTTAAAAAACAACCTAAACAGAAACAGAGAAGCGAGTTCAAATTACGATTCTGGTAGTTTGCGTTTACTTCGCACTAATACTCTTACAGGCATGAATTCAACTCTCCCTTTCGGTTAAGTTTAGGATTACTTTCTACCGCTGGTACCGTATATCTCATATGGTAATAACCTTAAAACCCGACAATACAGAATGAGATCTTATCAATCTACAAAGTCACGGGGTAAGTGTATTTGATTGTATGTAAAACATTCATGTAATATATATATATATATATATATATATATATATATATATATATATAATAAATGCGAATGTCAGTGTGTCACACTTTTCAACTTTACTCCTAGAGGCCGTAGCCCAACATAGCATACCATTTTGGAATCAGGCCCACTTCGTGAGCAAATTAAAAGTATCCCAGGCTGGATCTGGCCCCACAATCCTGAAATTTGGGATTCCAAGTTTTCATTACTACGATTGTTTACGACGATTTTTTTTTTTTTTTTTTTTTTTTTACGATAACCATTTTTATAACTTGGAAATAAATTTAGGATTCATCAAAATTAACTGCGAAATCCAGCGAAAGTCACTCATAAAATAAGAATAATTGTTTTTATGAAAATTAAGGACCTACGTAATTGTCTTTAAATTAAGTGGTTGCAGGAGAATTATCGTTGAACTTTTCAAAGGTAAACTTAAATATTTATGCAATAATTAAATGCAGCGATCAATTTTGAGTTGTGTAGTTTGTTGTTGCCTATCGCCTCTACTTCTCCCTACCTATTGTGATGAAGGCCCAATCAAGAATCCTCCGTAGAAACTAGCTTAAATGCCACCCGATAGGGCGACCTTTAAGCTAATAAGTATGATGACCTGACAACGGCATTTAAGCATGAAACAGACTGTCACCGCTAGGTGTTGGCCTCAGTGTTCAATTTTATATTTACATATGGGGTATCCCTGATCATAAATATAGCATACCTTAAAACTAAATTTTTTTATCACACACACACACATAATATATATATATATATTGGATGATGTGAGTTTGTGACCCTGGATTTTTATTTTGGATTTATGTAGATTGCGTGTATTGGTGTTTATTATGGGAGTTGGGTGGGGAAATCTCAGGCTAACGAACCAATACACGTAATCTACATAAATCAAAATTTTTTTTAAAAATTAATCAGTTTGTCTGACGATCGCAAAAGCATGAAACCCAGGGTCACAAACTCACTTTGTAATCCATTCAAATATGTTAGCTCCATCTCTGATATTGAGCATTTAATATATAAATAATAATATATATAATATATTACACCCCCCACACACATATATATATATATATATATATATATATATATATATATATATATATAATTAGTATGTGTGTGTTACATCCATCGGCCAGTCCATTCTAGAAATCTTTTAAAAAAAATGTTTTCTCCGGCAGGGATTGCGCAATCGCATGCATGAACTTTTGTATTTGTAGCTGTAAACAAAATCGGGGAGTCTTTCACATATAAGTAATAATATATATATGAGAGATGGAGCGGGGGGGGCGATTAAAAATATTAACTCCTCTTGTGGAGTTCTTTATACATGTCATGTTCTTTCAGGAAGTAGGTGATTTAGTTGGTGTTTTTTGTTTTTGTTTTTTTTTTCTCTGTGAGTAGCCATGACTTGTGAAAGATAATTAAATTTCCTATTGCCTTCTTCAATAGTCTTTCCTCTCAAATGGCTTATCACCCGAGGCCGTAGAAACCAATTCATCCTGTTATATAACCTATAACTAGAAGAACAGGTAGATTTGGCAATTTCAGAAGGCATTTTTGCGAAAATGAACGCAATTGAAGTGGTCGGAATTTGAACTCTGTTCGCCACTTTCTGCACTGGTAACCGTTACGCTGACCGCACTTTTTTTTTTAATAAGTTCACTCCCCACCCCAAGCAAAGCGCTAATACTACTTAGACGCAAGAGGTTACTGAGAGTGAAAGAAGATGAGGAAAAAGGACATTAAAAAAAACAGAATTCAGGAAGACAAATGTGGGACTCTTCTCTTTTTTTTTTTTTTTTTTTTTAATCGAGTATTCTTCGTTTTTTTTTTTTTTTAAATCAAGTATTCTTCATTTTTTTTTTTTTTAAATCAAGTATTCTTCATTTTTTTTTTTTTTTTTATTTTTTTTTTTTGGCTACCAGCAGCCGTAAATTCTATTCTTTTCTGTGGAGCACTTTTCTGGCGCCATGATTTCCAGCCAACTTTAATCTGCAAAAATTTAAATACAATGTCAGTCGCTATCTACTGTCCTCCTGATTCCTCTTTTCTCTTTCCGCTCATTATTACTGTTTCTGTTCGTAATTCTTTCACACCCAATAACCCCCTTGTACCTTGGTGGTTTTACTGCCTTGCTTGGGTCGAAATCGATTTTAAAATAAATAAAAGTTATATATATATATATGTGTGTGTGTGTGCGTGCGTGCGTGTGTCTCTTAGCTGATTGATGCTATCTTCAACATCCCGACTCCAGAGGTTCGTAGATGGACCCTCCAGCAATCACTCCGTCCACTCGTCTGGGGTTAACAGCAATATATATATATATATATATATATATATATATATATATATCCATTGAAAGTCAATTCGGATAATACCAGAAAATTTGTCAATTTTGAAAAAAAATTGTTGAAAATTTAAATTTCGGACAAGAGAAATTAAAAAAAAATAGTTCGAATAATTCATAGAATTAGGACGATATTCATTTAAAATCTCAGACTAGAAACACAATCATATTTTTACAAAGAAAATGGCACTAGGAAATACACTGTAATAAAGAAAAAGTTGATCGTTTTGTTGTTCAACGAACATCAGATTCTTTTGAAAAGAAGCAGACGACATAAGTGAAATAAAAGAAGAGAGAAGAAAAATTGTTCAAATTATTTGGAATCAGGATGAAATATTTATGAAACCTGTGTAAGTTTCTGTGAAAATTGTCGAGGGCTTTGTAAAACAATTCTATCGCATTTTTACATGCACTAAGGCAAGAATATAAAACCAAAATATACAATATGCAATAATTCCATACACACGCCTGAAAAAATATGTAACGACACACAACAACGTATACATAATAAAATCTCACTGACACTCAAAAGTGATTTACTAAAATATGATGCCGGCAGACGATGGGGCGCCTACTGTAGCTTATTTTATAAAGACGTTGATTTTAATATTGAGTTTATGTTTGAATCTGAATGTAAGTAATTCGGTTTTTATGTATTTTTTTTTTCTACCTATTACCTCCACCGATTAGATAATTTAAATGTTTTTAAACAAGTTATCTACATATGTGAAGTTGAAGTAATTTAGGAATTAGTGCTGATATGTTCGTTGCGTTCTTCGTCTTTCTCGAAATATGTTCAAATCAAAATGGTTGACTTTAGTTCGATTCTTTGTAGTACAGAATAATAAACAAGAAGAATAGGGTATAAATTTACTGCAAAAGAGCCGATGTGAATCCAGTTGATAGAGTTAATGATTATATTGAATAAGAACTTGGATTCAAGGACTCGTAGAGTCAGAGTTAAAATGACTTTTTTGAAATGAAATAGAAACAAAACAAATGAAAAGCAATTAAAATCGATTAAGAGGAGTCGGAAATATTATAACTACTTATGTATATGTGTGTGGGTGGTGTACACCGATAGATAAAATATGTGCTGAGTACTTTGCCCATGGTATATTAATACGCACATAGATTCATCTTAATCTGTAATCTAGATACATAGATTAAAATTGGGGCATATGAAGTCGAGGATAGCAGATAGCAGTAAACTTACACAAATCAATTGATGATAGGGAAGTAGGAAGAAACAGACTTAGATACATGGATAGATATGAAGAGAGTGAGTGAGAGAGAGAGAGAGATAGATATGAAGAGAGTGAGATAGATAGACAGATATGAAGAGAGTGAGATAGCTAGATAGATAGATAGATATGAAGAGAGTGAGATAGATAGATAGATAGATATGAAGAGAGTGAGATAGATAGATATGAAGAGAGTGAGATAGATAGATATGAAGAGAGTGAGATAGATGGATAGATATGAACAGAGATAGATAGATAGATACATATGAACAGAGATAGATAGATGGATAGATATGAACAGAGATAGATAGATGGATAGATATGAACAGAGATAGATAGATGGATAGATATGAACAGAGATAGATAGATGGATAGATATGAACAGAGATAGATAGATGGATAGATATGAACAGAGATAGATAGATGGATAGATATGAACAGAGATAGATAGATGGATAGATATGGACAAAGTGAGATACATGGATAGATATGGACAGAGATAGATAGATAGATATGGACAAAGTGAGATACATGGATAGATATGAACAGAGAGATACATAGATATGAACAGAGAGAGAGCGCTAGATATGAAGATATGTGAAAAGCCTAGCAAGATATTGATGTCGAGTACTAATTCTGCTAAGGCAGGGGAAGACCTGCTAAGCTTCAGATTTTATTAAGTGGAGCTTAAAATAGAAAAGCAACGATAAAATTCGCTTACGTATCAACACTTCTAAAAGTCAGTGTGTGAAACATCGGCACATTCTGACTGTAAAAATGAAAGGCAACCAGGGCAGAGGTGGGATTTAAGGCAAGGGTGCATACACGTGTGCGGATTTAAAAGTGCGTACATGCGTGTCTATGCGCGCGTGCACGCCCGACTCTGTGTGTGTGTTGTGGATATTGACTGTGTAAAACGTATGCGTATAATTTTACGTTGTTATAAGATTCATTTTATATGAAATTTATCAAGTTTCTCCTGAAGCATTTGCTTCAACCCACCACATATATCCACGCATTTTTCAAAAATTGCGTATGTGTGTCTATTCTTATTTTTCTCTTCCAAAATATTGATAACTTTTCTGTATAAGTGTTTTTTTTTGGTTTTCTTTTCAAATTTCTTTCGCTGTGAAAATATCGATCTTTGAATAATATTGATTATAGTCAGAAAAGTATGGCACAAAGTCGGGAGAAGAGTTACTCTGCTTTAAATGTCCACATTTGAAACCAAGGCTTTTGCCGGGGCTCTAATTGCAACTACTGGCCTAGGTAAGGCAATGCACAACAATCAAGAGCATCAGGCAAACCCACGCTTTTTGTCAGTCAATGAATAGGTATCTACGTGCCTATTTCAATGTCTTCATATCATTGACTATTTATTTCTCTTGACATGTATATGGTTTTGTCTTCTTCGGTTTGATCTCTCTCTATCTCTATCTATCTATCTATCTATCTATATCTATCTATCTATATATATATATATATAATATTAATCACATAATACTACAGTCTCAGATCAAAATATGGTTCAGGTTCGAACATATTGATATAGTATATCTCTATCACTGTCTACTTTGCTATCTTAATCTGTTTATCTTTCACTCTGTCTCTCTTATATATATATATATATATATATATATATATATATATATATATATATATATAAAGTGAACATTGAAGTCAACACTAAGAGGCGACAGCATGAAACAGACTGTCGCCTCTAAGTGTAGACTTCAATGTTCACTTTTATATTTACACACGCTCTATCTCTGATATTGAGCAGTTTATCCCATAAAATATATATATATATATATATATATATATATATATATATTTATTCTTCTCACTCTTTCTTCCTTTCTTTCTCCTTTGTATATCTGTTCTTGTCACATTTTCTATCTCCTCTCTTGTCTTCTCTCTCTATGTATATATCTGTTCACCTTTCTCTTTCTATACTTTCTCTTTCTTCCTCTATCTCTCTCCATACACACACCTCATTATTTCTGTTATTCTCCTCCTCCTCTCTCTATAGATATATATCTGTTCTCCTCCCTCTTTTCCTTCTCTTTTTCCTTTCTCTCTCTCTCTCTCTCTCTCTCTCTGTGTTCTTTCCTTGTCATTCTAATATAATGTTCTCATTCACTCTTTCTTTATATCTATTTTCCTCAATCTCTCTCTCCTCTCATTTCTCTCTCTCTCTCTCTCTCTCTATATATATATATATATATATATATATATATATATAATCTGTTCCTCTCCCTCTTCTATGTTCACCTTTTTATTACTCTTCTCGCTCTGTCTTCAATTACACCGTCATCCTATCCCCCCGCCATCTCTACCCATATTAATTCCTTCTATATTTCTTCATCTCCCTGTGATGTCCTCTAAATTTGTCTATATTCTCACCTGTCTGCCCAACAGGCCTACTGTCTGGCAAACGCATACATTCTTACACGTATATATCTCTCTACATCTACACAAGCATACATAGTTAGCACTTTCTCCCTTACTTCACGCCGAGTTCCATATCTAATCAGTCAAATGTCGATCGGTTCTTAGATAACTATTTTGGCAATCTGAATCGAGTAAGAATTCTTTTTGCTGCTCACAAGACGAATAGTCGCTCACAGTCGCGAAAATGGCTTAATTGTTTTAGATGCGACCGACAAATATTTGGAGAAGAGTGGCAAAGAAAAATAGATTACGCCCACAAAAACAAGCGTGGATGTCATAATTCTGTATGTATATATGTTTCTTTTGTCTAATTTACCATAGTCTTTTTCTCGATCTTTTCAGTGACAATGTTTCGAATTTTGGCCTTCTTCAGGAAACAGTTGGATTTTCTAATTACCTATCTCCCATTCTTAATACAATATATATATATATATATATATATACACACACACAAATAGAGAGATTACCATAGACAAAGACAGACCGTTCCATAGATAAATATGAACACACACATATATATATATATATATATATATATATATAGTTCTTCACAGCACGATGCAATTGTCAATTTATGTTCGAGCATTGTTTTAACACAAGCACTCCATGTGCGATACTGATATATATAATATTCATATCTGATTATGATTTGTCTGTTTTTGTATGTATATATATATATATATATATATATATATATATATATATATATATATATATATATATATATATATAAATAAATATACATTTGTTACTCACTGTTTGATACAACTCTGAGTTTCATATACGACAGGCACTGTTTTATTACTATCAGCCCTCACTTTGTGATATATATATATATATATATATATATATATATATATATATGAAGTGGACATTAATGTCAACATCCAGAGACGACAGTCTGTCATGCTATTGCTTTTAGCAAGAAACAGACTGTCGCCTCTGGCTGTTGATTTCACTGTACACTTTTATATTTACATACGCTCTATCCGTAATTTTGAGCACTTTTAATCCACAAATATACCATACCTTGAAAGTATATTTTATCATATATATATATATATATATATATATATACTATTTTTAATGAATTAATGGATTTTTATTTTTCATCTGATATTATTTTTTTGCTCGAAATGTTATTTTAGTAGATACCTATTTTTGAGTAGACACCTTGTTTTTCTTTTTTTCTTTATTTTTGCTTACTTTTATCTGTTTTTTTTTTTTGGTTTTTTTTTCATTTGTCAATTTTTTTATTTTCTGTAGTGCAAATTGTGTTTACCAGGCTACTCATCTTTATTAAGTCTCTCGAATACACAGGCCGGTAGACGTTATAGCGGATAATGTAGCAATTACTTTTATGCATGAAATCCAACTGCCAGTGAGATTCAATTATTTCTTTAACATACCCCCCCAATGCCGCGCGGCTCGTTGCTTATTTGGCAAAATGTCAAATGTCTCTGTAATTTATAGAAAAATCCCTACGGAATGTTGGTTTGAACCGATACACCGGCTATTTGCAAAACGCCCATCACTATTCCGGGCAACACTTGTATTTGTTACTAAGCTAAGCAAATATCAAGTACGTTTTACGATAGAAAATACAAGTGCCGTCACAATGCTTATTTGATACGGCACGTTTATTATCTACTTATTATAATAGTCATCCTTCAACCGTAGTTAGAATCATCGATACGAACGATCCTTTCTTTAGCTGTATAGTATGTGCTGTACAATTTGGAATTCAGAGTTACTTTCTCCTAGACTAGTTGCTAGTCCAGGCTATAGAACCTAGTCTGTCCTGATATTTACCTATAGGTGATGGGTGGGGAGAAGAAGAGGATTCATACCTTTCCAAAGGGTAAGTGAATGTAATGGATCCAACAGAAATTCGAACTCGAATCTCCGATTCCTTTTATCCATTACTCCACGGCGCCTTATAGTTGTACATAAGCGTATCAGATCAATCAAAGGAAGAACAGAAAACTTGATAAATAAACAAGGGAGGTAATCATGAAAAGGAAAAAAAAACTATCTTTAGCACTATTCGTTCTTTTTTTTTTTTTTCTTTTTTTTTTTTGTATACTTGTGTAGCAGATATTGCCGTTGGCACATTTAAATTATTTCCTTCACATCTGCACCCATTGGCACCATGCTTATTTTATACGGCACAATTATTATCTACTTATTATAGTAGTAAATAAGCGTGTCATATCAATGAAAGGAGGGACCGTAAACTAGTTGAATAAACAAGGGAGGCAACCATGAAAAGGAAAAAACTAGTGGATTAAAAAGGGTTAGTTTGTGAATTTAGCGACATAGTAATTTTGAGTTCAATCCCTGAGCAGGGCAATATGTACTTGAATCCAGTGGAAACAGAAAAAAGAATAATTAAGCAGTACTAAACATAAGAACTAGACGAGATATCCCTAGACATGGGTAGGTTAAATAAAGGATTTATTTCGGAATTTCCTGTAGGTTACCCCGATCGGCATATACCTGAAGACGGCCGAAACGTTATGACAACAACACAGATGAGGAACAGTGATCTAAACTGTTCTACTGAAGCTGTTTGCAGAGAGGATCCCGAACGAGGCTGTGCCGAACGGCAGTGTTTCGTCCGGGGACGTAGACAAACCCGAACCCGTTTATGCCGGTTCTCCGGGGATTTTTGGGGCCGAGCCTACGGGCTCGGTTGACCCACGTTAAACTCGGCCTTATGCCACATGTACCCTCGTGGGGGTGGGGGTCACTGTATATAACAGTGATATAGACTGTTCTACTGAGGCTTTTCGCAGCTCCTGTCTAACTCTCTGCTTTTGGCAGAAAGGAACCCGGACGAGGCTGTGCCGAAGGGCAGAGTTTCGTCCGGGGAAGTAGACAGACCCGAACCCGTTAATGCCGGTTCTACGGGGATTTTTTTTTTGGTCGGGCCTACGGGCTCGGATGACCCACGTTAAACTCGGCCTTGCGCAACATATATCCCTTGTGATGGGGCTGTTAAATATTAAAAACACAGATGAGGATAATAGTCCACCTGTAAATAATAATAATTCCTCATCTTGTCGGAGAGTTTATCTCGACCACTACGCTATCAGTTAAGAATTTATGTTAAGTTTTATCATTTAACTGTCTTTAGTCTATCAAAACATTCAAAAAGTAAAGATTTTTGCTTTTCTTTGATGTATTTTAATAGCAACAATTTAGGATGTGGTGGATAACGTAACATTTTTTGTGTACGAAATATAAGTGCCGGCACAATTAAATTACTTATTTCAATTCCACACGCACCAGAACGTTGC